TCCCTCCTCCCTCCCTCCGTGCCTCTCCACCTCTCCCTTCCCCTCTCCACCTCTCCCCCGCGCAGGCCCAGAAGGAGACCGCTCCCTGCCACCACCCACAGACACTCGCCCACTCACACCCTCCCCCTTCCCCGCATTCGCAGGCGGTCGGCTCGCGGCGGTCAGCGCCGTCCCACACGCTGCAGCAACGGACCGCCTCCCCGCTCGCCTCTGTCTTTGTCGTCTCGCTGGTCATCCCCGCCGGTAGCGGCGTGCTGCCGCTCGCCCTCTCTCCTCTGGCCACTTCTCGGACCTCTCCGAGACCGTTCCTGGACCCTTCCCTGTAGGCGGCGTGCTGCAGCTCGTCCTCTACTTTGGAGTCCTCGCCGCGGCGGCGTCTGGGCCGGCGCACCAGCTGCTGCGCGCCTTCACCGCCCCGGAGACGAGCGACGCGTGGCGGAACGGCCGCTTCAAGATCATCCCCGGCGTCGAGGCGGGCCCTTGGATCGTGCGCAAGGTGAGCCGCGCGTAGGCTACCAGGTCACAGCATGGGCTCGGGGCGTACTCACAGCAGTGGGGCATGGTTCCCCCACCCCCAGGGAGGGGGAACCCACAGCGGACGCGCGGCCACTAACCGATCTGCGCGGAGTAGCGGGTTGGTCGGTGGGCGGGTGGAGGAATGAGTTTGCCCGTGGACCGCGCGCAAGGCTGTCGGCAACAAGAGCACCCCCGCCATCCTCGGCAAGCAACTCAAGCAGACCTTCTCCTCCTCCCCCGGCGTCTTCGAGGCTCACCTCGGCCTCACCTCGGCCTCATCTCGGCTTCACCTCGGCCTCACCTCGGCCTCACCTCGGCCTCACCTCGGCCTCACCTCGGCCTCACCTCGGCCTCACCTCGGCCCCCTCGGCCTCACCTCGGCCTCACCTCGGCCACCCCTCGGCCTCACCTCGGCCTCACCTCGGCCTCACCTCGGCCTCACCTCGGCCACCCCTCGGCTTCACCTCGGCCCCCCTCGGCCTCACCTCGGCTTCACCAATGCTTAATTAATTGTTAATTACTCAGGTTGCCGTCGACTGCAACTCGTCGCCCGCCGCTGGGCGCATCGTCTCGATGGTAAAGTCGCAGGCGACTCGACATAGCCGAGAGATATAGCAGGGAGATCGCCGGGAGATATAGCCGCGAGATCGCCGCGAGATCGCCGCGAGATCGTCTCGTGGGCCGAGCCGCGGTGCGGCGCCTCGCGGTGCACCGTTTCGGTCTCCGTCTCCTCCACGGCATTCCGTTCTGCCCGGCGCGGCACCTCGCCGCCCACCTAATGAGGTAATGACACGGCGAGTGAAAGTAATGAATTAGGCGCGGCACCTCGCCGTCGACCTCGCCTTCCTCATCGAGCCGCAGAGCGCGTCCGAGCTCGCCGAGCGCGTGCGGCGCCCTAGACGCGGCGGCACAGATCCGCGTATTCGACTAGCACTCGCGGAGAGGACACGTCCTCTGCTCGAGTACTCCGCTGTGCTCTCTGCACCGTCTCCCGCCTGCGAGGCTCGGACTCGGCGGCACGAGACCGCCCTCACACCCTGTCCCGTGCGTGTTGGTGGCGCAGGTGCTCGGCTGCGTCCGCATCTCCCCGTATCTCCCCATATCTCCCGATATCTCCCCGCAGGTGCTCGGCTGCGTCCGCATCTCGCATGTCTCGCTCGCAAACGGTCTCATACCGGCATATTGCGGCACGGAGGGCGAGGACGAGTGAAGGCCGCCACACCCCGCCGCCCTCGCCTTGCGCCCGGGGCGGCTTTGTTTGAGTAAGGCGAGAGTTCCGCGCTTCGCTGCGCGGGGCTTTGCCAAATCGTGTCGGCCCCCCTTTCGTTTATTTGCGCCATCTGAGTCGTCGCCATTGGAGTCCGGACTTTTAGCCGCACCGGACGTGTGTATCAGTCGGTGCGCTCGTGTGTGTGGTCTCGCCAGCAAGAAATATCTTTCCAAAAGCGAAAAGGCGACGTGGGGTCGAGCTCGAGACGCTTTCGACGCGCTCTAAAGGGGAAAAGGACCCTTCAGTAGAGGGTGTGCAGCGCCCCAAAATCCACCCGTGTGGGATTTCGCGCAATCGCTTGACTCTGAAACCTGGGGTGTCGACGGGCCCCCGGGGGCACGGGGGTGCTCTTCGGCCGCGGCGGCCGAAAACGGGGACGGACGAACGACGGCAGCCCTGACGGCAGCCCTGCCGACGGCCGCCGAAATGACGTCGTGGTTATCCCGTCGTCTGCAACAATGAAACAGGGCGGAGCAAGATGCAACAGCCCGATTGTCTGCACGGCACTGGCGCTGATTTTGCTTGGTGCAACGTCAACCATTCTGCAGAAGAAGCACGCTTCGGAGCTGTCCCAGCTGCAGGTGTCGGCCGAGGTGGCATCGCAGGCTGCTGAGGCAAAGCAGGCACACATGGAGACAGAGACGGCCGCCATGCACGCCACGATCCTCGAGCTGAAGGATCAAATTCTGCGTATGCAGAAGAAGCACGCGGCGGAGATGTCTCACCTGCAGGTGTCATGCGAGACGGCAGCTCAGGCAGCAAACGCAAAGCGAGCACTCATGGAGCAGCAGATGCTCGAGCTGAAGGAGCAGCAAAGGGGACACGCAGCTACGTCACGAGAGCAAACATCTTCTGCTGCCCCATTCCAGCTGGAAAACCGCCGCCGCACCCAGGCAACAACAGAGCTGCTTTGCCCGGTCGTGGAGGGCAACAAGGATCCCCACCTCTCCTTCGCGCATGGGGGCCGCGCTGACTTTCGAGGCCGCAATGGGCGAGCTCTGTCGCGTCCGCTGCACCCGCTCCAAAGCCTGCAGGCTAAGCACCAATCTCTTGCGCCGCGTCGCGTAGGGCTTTGTACTGCTTCCTCACCGCGCCGGGCTTTGCTGTCAACATCAAGACTGAGGTTCGCACGCGCCTATGGCATCGCTGTCGGCTTACGCCTCGCACAGAATGCCCCCCCGCCCCCCCCCTTCTGTTGCACGCTTGCACGCTCTGCCCTCGCACAGGACGCCACGTTCAGGCTCAACAAGGGGGCTCTGACGGTGGACGGCTCCTTCATCACCGAGGTGCACTTTGTTGCCGAGACGGGACGGGGGGAGGGAGAGCTCGTCCACGCGACCTTCTGGGCGAACGAGCTCAACGACTATAACACTGGCATGAACATGATCACCGGCTTCTGCGGCAAGCGACCCTTCTTTCTCGCCGCCGGCAAGACGCGCTCCTGCGGCAACCTGGTCATCCAGGTCAAGCACTCGAGCGCAACCTTCACGACGCCCGAGTGGCAATCGACCGTGCGGGGCAATCAGGTTTACGACCGCTTGTGGGGCGCGAAGCACCGCCTCGACGTCTCGCTGCGCGCGATTGACGGCAGGATGGTGGCGCCCGGGCAGACGCACGGTGCTAAAGTCCCCTTGCTCTCCCGGTCTTGGATCTGTCCCCGTCTCCGATCTCTGTCCCCTCTTGCGTGCCCCACAGGCCTTGTCGGGCAGAGCTTCTCGACGCCCGGACCGCGCAACGGAAACCCTCTCTCTGCGGGGAGAGCATGGACAGGGATCGATCGTTCACACTTCTAGCGGGAATAGGCAAACGCGACATCTACCCGACCGAGGGGCGCTTTCGGACCAGCGCCATGGCCGAGGGCGCCATTGAGGGCTCCGCCGAGCAGTACGAGCTTCCTTTCGGCAACACGGTCAATTTTGCATTCTCGCGATTCTACAGCAGGAGGCCGGCCGATGGGCTACTTCTGGCCGCTGGCGAGGCGTCTGCGGTTGACGAGGGCGGCGAAGCAAGTGTCTCCGTCAGCTCCAACGCCAACGCTGCTGGCTCTGGCCGTCCGTCACGGCGCTTGTCGGAAAACAACGGCGATTGCGACAGCGACGGCATCCCCGACGCCGAGGAGGGCACCGTCGACACGGACAGCGATGGCATCCCCGACTACACCGACCCCGACTCGGACGGCGACAGCATCCCCGACGCCGAGGAGGGCTCCGTCGACACGGACAGCGACGGCATCCCCGACGCCACCGACCCCGACTCGGACGGCGACAGCATCCCCGACGCCGAGGAGGGCTCCGTCGACACGGACAGCGACGGCATCCCCGACGCCACCGACCCCGACTCGGACGGCGACAGCATCCCCGACGCCGAGGAGGGCTCCGTCGACACGGACAGCGACGGCATCCCCGACGCCACCGACCCCGACTCGGACGGCGACAGCATTCCCGACGCTGAGGAGGGCTCCGTCGACACGGACAGCGACGGCATCCCCGACGCCACCGACCCCGACTCGGACGGCGACAGCATCCCCGACGCCGAGGAGGGCTCCGTCGACACGGACAGCGACGGCATCCCCGACGCCACCGACCCCGACTCGGACGGCGACAGCATCTCCGACGCCGAGGAGGGCTCCGTCGACACGGACAGCGACGGCATCCCCGACGCCACCGACCCCGACTCGGACGGCGACAGCATCCCCGACGCCGAGGAGGGCTCCGTCGACACGGACAGCGACGGCATCCCCGACTTCATCGACCCCGACTCGGACGGCGACGATATCCCCGACGCTGAGGAGAGTGACGTCATTCTTGGGGCGTTAACTACGAAGAGGACGTGCGGGGGTTGGGCCGCGAACGGTCCCAATGCAGGCAGGTGCTGTGCAACATGCTTACAGGTATCGCGATGTTGGGGGGGGCCAACAACCCCGAACAACTTACAAGAAGGAGGCCAGTGTGACGCCTACGCCATCGTCAGACCGATCACAGATGGGACAGACGTTCTCGGCAACAACGACGCAGAGCGCAATACATTTTGCGAATATCGATTTGCCCAGGGGTGCGATGGAATATTGAACGCACCTCAACCCCCAACCGAAGACTATTGCTCCAAAAACTACGGGACGTCTTGCGGAAGTATCACTGGACGGCGCCTGGCCGATGGTGCTGAGCACAGCTACAACGAAGTGGGTGTCGAGTACAGCCACAAGTACATCAGCGGACAAGGGATCAACTACTTGTTTGTAACCCCTCTGCCCGCGCACGTCGTGAAGGCTCTGAACCTGAGCCGCGTTTGAGTCACAGTGCTGTACCTTAAGGTACGACAGTAGTACCGAGGCGAGCAACTGAGGCACACAGGAGATTCCTGCTCGCTCTGGCAGGGAGGCTAGGGTGCGGTGGAGCGTTGGTGAGTCGTGAGAACAATGCGCAGTGTGTGCGCCTGTCCGGTGTCCGCACCCGCGATTACAGGAGGCCTTGGTGACGAGGTACGCTAGATACGAGGCAAGTGTCGCAGTCGCCGGTGTGCGGACATGCCTCGTCAAAGGGAGAAGTGGAAGGAGGAAAGGAAGTGGAGGAAAGGAAGTGTGTACGGGCACCGCCAATCCGGCACCGAGAGGGAGAGACGCACCGCCTGCAGCACACAGTGGGCCAATCGTCATCGAAAAGGGGGAACTTGTAGCCGCTTGCTCTCGCCGCAGCTCTGTGACATTGTGAGAAAGAGAAAAGGAGTCTACGGGGAAACGGGGCAGTGCCTAACACGAAAAGAAATTGGCACCCTCGCGCGCGGCCGCGGGAGAATTGTATTCCGTCGCCGGCCGCCGCCAGCCAAGACGTCAGGGCGTTCGTGTGAGTCTCCTCGAAGAAATAATAGAAAAGAAATTCGCGCAAGAACAAGGCGCCTTGTCGGCATGTCCCACGGCAGCTCGTGGGACCCAACGCATGACTTCTACCCGGACCGCTCCATCTTTGTGGGCAACGCGACGCACATCGAGTGTGCGCCCGACGACGACTACTCGGAGCCCGCGATCGTGCTTGCGGCAGGCTCGGCGATGGGCGCGCTGCTGCTGTTCCTGATGTGGCTGAGCTCAGGGCTGGGCCGGTACTCGCTCGCATCAGCTACCGGTACTCGTCGAAATCGGGGGAGTGGCTGATGCGGATGGGGTTCGCGCTGACGACCTTCACGGGGATCATGCCCCTGAGGGGTGGCCCGTCTACCGTCTACCGGTAGACTGGGGTAGACTGGGGTAGACGGTAGACCATTTGGTAGACGAGTCTACCGGTAGACCGTAATGAACCTACGACCCCAGTCTGCCGGTAGACTTGGTAGACCGCGGTAGACTCGTCTACCCCTCTTTCAGCCGCCGAACGGTAGACCGCCGCCGCCGGACGGTAGACCGCTTCGGCCGTTTGAATATGCAGCCTCCAGTTCTCCACTCAGGCGCCACTTTGGCAGACGAGCGCCGGCAGATGCCCTCGAAACCTGCCGGCGAACGTCCGTCCGGCGAGAACGCGCGCCATAATGGACGTGTGGCTGTCCGGCGAAATCTCGCTCTCGAGAGCCGCGAGAGGGCGGCGCTCTGCAGTGAGCGGTTCCGCCCGATGAGTGTGTAAAGACGTTCATTTGATCTCTTAAAAGACACGGAGCGCGCCTCGCACGGAAATGGCATGAGGTGAAGCTCACAGCGACCGCGCTCAACAGCCTCTCTCACCGGCAGATTTCGCCCGCGCGGCAGACCGCACTTTCATCGCGCGTTCTCGCCGGACGGACGTTCGCCGGCAGGCCGCGAGGGCATCTGCCGGCGCTCGTCTGCCAAAGTGGCGCCAGCGTGGAGAACTGGAGGCTGCATATTCAAACGGCCGAAGCGGTCTACCGTCCGGCGGCGGCGGTCTACCGTTCGGCGGCTGAAAGTGCTTGCTGTCGGCTGAAAAGGCGACATGATGGTGTTTTACCGCCAGGGGTCGCGCATGAGTGAGGGCGACGGCTGACGATGGGGCGCATCGAAAAGAAGTCATACGAACGTTACGACTTTTACGATGGATCGTTCCGACGGGCGCCGGCTAAGCCTCCCAGAGCGGCGCCCCAAATATTGGCGCCCCTCCTCGTGCGGCTGCCCGCTCCCTGCCCCGTGTCGTGCTCATGTCGGGACCGATCATCACCCTGCACGGGGATCACAGCCACGACGCGGGCACTCGGCTCGCCGCACTCACCGACGAGCTTCTATTCGACGTCCGCAAAGACTCTTGGGTATTCAACGCTCTCGCTTTAGGACGCTTTCAGGCCAACTTCGGCCACGCACCCGACTACGTCGTCGTGCCAGGATGGATCATCACAGTGGCATTCGGGGCTCTCCGCCTCGGCGGCGACATCATGTGGTATGGTCAAGACTCGGCCCCCACTGCTTCAAAGCTGAACAATCTCGCTATCGCTGTAAACGCTGGGGAGGTCAGGTTCTGGTCGGCGGAGGACGACACGCCATTCCCCTCGGCCTTTGCACTCCGAGAGGCTTTGGTGGGCTTCGCGGCAGAGCACCTCGATCTCGACGACCCCGAGGGCCCACTCTTCGTCACCAGCGACAACGACCGCTATGACGCTGGGCTGGAAGCCTACCAGGCGGACAACCTAGTGACCTTCAACGAGCTCACAGTGGACAACCTGGTGGGAGATGACAACACACTTGGACCCTGGGCTTTCCTCAACTGCCTTACTCCGTGGTCTGCGGAGCAACCGGACGAGGACGACACGTCCTCCGAGTTCATGGTCGTCACAGGCGTGATGGTAAAGTACGCCGAGAAGATGGACTCGGAGCTCTTCGAGCTGTCGGCGGTGGACGCGCTCGCCAACTGCCTTCGGGCGGTGGCGAGGGTGCCGGCGGCGCTCCTCCCGGAGGACATGACTCGGACGACGCGCCTCAAGTTGATGCGGTTCACGCTCGACATGACGCAGCCTGAACGCCACCGGGTGATCATCAAGAACAACATCACGACGGTACTCAAGAGCTACCCAAACCTGGCCAAGTGGACAGGCGCCGGGCCGACAGCATACGGGTACATCCTCCAGCTCGCGGCGAAAGTGCTCGAGGGGCAAGCATTCGGCTTCGACGTCCTACCCGCGCTCGACCAGAAGATGGTCGACTTCGCAGGCCACTACCAGCAGTCCTGGTCGCCTTCGAATAACATCAAGTATCTATGCGAGCAACTCTCCGCTACACCCGGAGCACACGGGCAGACGGGTGCTGCGCCAGGCGGCGTACCCGGCGGCGGGCTACAGGGCCAAGAGTCCAAGATGGTGCAGCTCCTCGCTGACATCCAAGAGGTACACGCAGAAGGCGGATCGGGTGACGACATCATTAGGACGATTCTCGCGTCGACTTGCCCCAGGCCTATCAAGTGGGTTCTGGGCGTCACCAAGTCGACGGTGGGCCTCCCATCCGGTCTGTTGCGCGAGGAGGACGCCGAGCTGCCGCGACGCTGGGCGGACCACCTCCTCGACCTGATTGTCGGCACGGACGTGGCGATGAAGGACCTGAAGATCGATGCGTTCAGCCCCGCCGCGCTCGAATACCTGAGGTCCGGGAAGCTCTCGAAGAAGTACATCAACTGGGACCGCGATTTCATCTGCCCCATCCTGCGACATTCGGCGGGAGAGCATCTCGGGGAGACGGCGGTACCGATCAGGGACAGCGCCTACCAGGCAATGACCACGTCTCAGGTGCTGGCGGATTCGGACAGGCTCGCGACGCATTTGATGTACATGCCGCGGATCCTCCAGTCAATTGGGCTGCTCCCGAAGGCGGAGAACAGCTACATGTCTCTACTGACGTTCATCCAGCCCAAACTGGCTAAGGCGCGTGCCAACGGGGTGCTCGCGGACGGCGCGACAAACGCGGCGATGCTGGTGGACGCGGCCTTCGACGCGGCACCGTGCGTCTTTGTGCGGCATGTACAATTGGCAACCCTATCTCGCCGTTGGGTGGCCTTGCTGGGCAGTGGGCTCCAGCAGAGCTCTTCTCGGCCGCGCGATGCAGGTCTCGGCAATGTGCCCGCCATACCACCAGCCTTTGCTTGTGCGTCGACCCTTGCGCTTTTGGCTGCTGTCCGCCGTACGGTACGTAGGAAGGCTAACGATGGCTACTCTGAACTGATGTTGAGTGGTCTAAGTATCCAAAGCTCGGATGAGAGTTCACGTCGGTGTGGACGTCTCTCATCGGGCGGGGACACGTGACGATGTATCTCGATGTATCTCTTGAAGAAGAAGTCTCGTTCGCAAAAGGTCACTCAAGCAAGAAGACTTGGAGCACTTGACTATGAGACCTCGCCCGGCTGGCCCCTGCCACCGGAGGCGACAGAAAGAAGACAAGTGAGAAGTGTCTGGCGCTCGCAAGTAATCGTAGGGAGCGTCTCACAGGTCACACTCAACCAAGACGGTCACTCAACCAAGACGGGGCGCGGAGATCGGGAGATGCCCTTTAGTCAACCGTACTGTGTGGGGAAACAGCGCGACCTGCTGCGCGGGCGCTATAGGCGCGCACCTCTGTACTGTCGCACGCCCCCCCCCCCCCCCCCTCCCTCGCTGGAGCCCCGATAAGACGGGCGACTCCGCGGGCGCATAGCGGGCCCTGGCCCAGTGCCCTAGCCGGTGCCCGGCCCAGTGCCCGGTGGTCCCACCAATCCAAAGAGTCTGTGTTGCAGCCCATTCGGCCGGCATCCGCCGGAAGGGGCAGCCGGGCGGCGTGCCGCCTCCTCCGCCTCTGTCCACGGCCGCCCTAAGCATGCGACCCGCCCTCCTCCTCCTCCTCGTCGGACTGGGCGGGGCGGGGCGGGGCTGAGCAAGGCTTAGGCGGGGCTAGGCGGGGCTAGG